GTATGAGAGTGTCATCTCCCAGTTCATCCATGTCACGAAAGCACATGTCTGTGATGCGGTTGTCATGGGGCGCGTTTATTCTGGTGTTCAGCTCAAAGCTATAGGAAAAGAAGATAGAAGAAGAAGATAGATAGAAGATAGATGCTTGCCACTCATATTTCATTTCATATTCATTCATATTTCATTTGAAATTTGGGAAGACTTCAAGTTGATTCTAGAATGGGCAGGGAGAAAAGTAATCAAAGGAATTTTTAATTAAGACAGCTAAATGGTATTGCATTAATAGATCAGGTTTCCCTAATGGCTTCCATACAGTAGCCCAGCACCAAGAATTATCATTAGGCAAGCATCTCTCAAATACTCTAGAAAATCAGTCATGTGGTTGATCAGTGCAGTACCTTTCTTTTGCCTTGTTTCTTTAAGAAAATAAAAATTTGACATCAAAATGTAATTTTTTAAATAGGAAAATCAAGGAAAGGATATTAACCAGATGCATATGTTAGCTAAAGACAGAGACCAACAATATAATGACAATCTTCTGTACCTTGTGGAGAAGGACTAATCAATTAATGATGGATTACACAGAGGTGGGAAAACTATAGAAGGTACAGAGCCATTCTGTCAGGTCCATGATTTTTAGCACCAAGAAAATATGTGAACTAAAGTCATATGGTTACAATAGTCTCTGACTACTATAAGTAAAACAGATCCAGAGCAATTATTTCCTGTGTGTATTCAGTGCAACTCTGTGCTCTGCTGCAGATGCTTTAGTGTGCATGGCAACTTTCCAGACCTGGAAGAACTCTGTGCAGGGATTTGTGTGACTGACAGCTGGGAGGCCAGCTGCTACCCTTACCTTTGTATTTCCTCATTGTAGAGCCACAGCTTGAGCTGCAGCTCGGGGTCAGTCACTTCTTCACTCTCCTCGACTGTGGCCAGCCAGGTGCCGCGGGCGCTGAACGCCGCCTTCACCAGGTCCGACTGCTTCAGACCCGCCTGGTGGATGTACTGCCGCTGCACAATGTCCAGCTGCAAGGCAAGGCAAGGGTGCATCTCAAAATGCAGGCAGAGCTCTAAGACATCCCACTCATGAAAGCATGCAGAAAGGATGCTCTGAAGGCTCCTGTTAGATCTGACTGGGCCGTGGCACAAAGAAGTAACCAACATGTTGGGAAAGAATTAGAGCATGTGCATTCCACAGTGATGCAAAGTGTAGGAAAAAATGAAAAGTAATTTGAAGGTGTTTTACCTACAAATTTTTGACATTTAACAGGATAGCACACTGTTTTAGAGTACTTTTTTCAGTATCAATATTTAGATTTGCTTAGCAAGTGAAGTCAGAGATAAAGCCAAGAACATCTCAACCTGGAATCCAGCCTTGTGGGATAGCTGCAAGGTTTTTTTTCCATTTCCCATATTAAGTCTTCAAATAAATTCTGATGCACAAGTTACTTGACTATGTTTTGGTACAAGCCCATCCAACTTACACTGAACAACTGTTGGTCACTCTGGAGGGAATAGAACTGCAAGTGGCCTGGCTCTCCATTCAGGACCAAAGCTTTGGTTCTAGGATCAACTACTAGGCCAGTCTTGATGTCCCTACCTGGAAACAAAAATCAGGTGACAAATGACCAAAGCTTTCAAGTGACACATTCCACCCTCTAAGCTGAAGATAAATTTTACTGCACTTACTTTTGATTAGCCCTTGAATACTTTTGGAAAACCTTAGGTTGCTGTTGATTATTGATATTCCTGAAAGAGAAAGCAGACCAAATCTTGCAAAAGGCACACACCTCATGGTGGGAAAGGGACTGTAACCATCTGTACTGTAAATGTGTATTTTCACAGTTTATGACACCAAGGTAGAAAGTCAAGTTACAGCAGTGACCAGGCAAATTCACAGAACTGATCAAACAGGAAAAGAAAAAGCATCTGTTTTTTTCAGATCACTAACGAAATTTTATGTAGTTCTTAGTTAAATCATCCAAAATCAACAAAATAAAGCTCCTACAGATTTTCATTTCCATTGAAGTGATACTTGGATGTGTTTTGGCTTACTGTTGTCTGTGTGCAAGGTGCAGCAGAGAACGCCATCAGAGGCCATGGAGATGTACTCGATAGGAGACCCCAAACGAGGCAGGAAATCCTTCTGGCATGAAGATTCATTGTGCCACTGGACTAGGACAGATTCAACTCCACCACTCAGCAACCTGGTTCCTTTTCCAGCAAGAAAATACAGTTAAATGGTTTTGCTTAAAAAGAAATAATTCAGATAAAAGTGTAATATTTCTGGCAGCAGGTTTGAGCTCAGAGAATTTATTTGGATGCAAGTGAAACTGGCAAGAACTCAATGGTATTATTAATGAAATAGAAGGGGAGGAAGAGTGGAGGTGAGGAGAAGAGGTGAGAGAAGGGCTTAGATTTTTCTTTCTACCACAGAAGGCAGATATTTGACATTTTAAATGCCAATCAAAATGCATATTAAAAAATAACTCCTTTCATTTTTATTTCAGATCCTTCCTGGATATACTTAAAATTCTAGAAATTAACTTTTAGTAAGTCGATAAACTTGGAGCTTCTATAGATTCTTCCCTGTCTGCTGCAACACTTCAAATTTCAGAAACTTCTGTTTGATGGAGATTTTTTGGGGTTTTGGTAGGTTTTTTTTATTGCTTTGTTTCGGTTTTTATTTTTCTTTCACTCACCCTCCATAGTAAAAGCCAGATCCATGACAATATCATGATGCCAGTGCAGTGTGGAATATGTGTACTCTTTTCTGTGGTGGAAATTCCTCCTGTGTGGAGAAGAACAAAACAATTATTTACTCACAACATCAACAACATAGTAAACAAAAGGAAATATCTAATTGAATCAATTTTATAATCCTGTCCTCTAACTTCTAGACAAGAGATGAAGGAGAAGAGAAGGAACCACACTACAGATTTTCAGACCCCTCCTGGTCCACACCTCACAGATGTTCTGAGCAACTCAGCCCTGGGAGCAACTTAACCATATAATGTTTTTAATCAAGTTTTCCATTGGTGTGCTGTCTCTCACTTGCCCATAAAGACTTATTTCAGCTGCTTTGCATTACCTTTTATACCTCAGCTTAGATTCAGTGGAGCATAACTTAACATAGGCATTTTTTCCACTTGGCATATACACTGTCAGCACTGCAGGTTCATTGCTCATTCTGACTTCTAAAAATGGCAATGCTAAGGACAAATCAGACTGCTTTGCTTGGGTTTTACTTAATTCCTACAGTCAGAGGAGTTTATGGGATACATAGTTAAGCAAAATGCACATACCAGAGGCGAATCTTTCCATCAGCATGGCCAGTTGCAATGCAATCCTCCTTAGGATGGCACACAACACAACTGAAGCGATTGTCTCCTTTTGTCTTCATTGTACTTAAAGAAAACCTTCAAAAGTAAAGAAAGTAACTTTAATTTTAAGAGTTAGGTTGGTTTTTCTAAAACAAAACTTCAAAAGTATCAGCTACTGCATATAAAAATAATTCTGATTAAAATTAAACATTTTCAAGTTTCTATGGTTACACGCACTCTTAAAAAATAGTGAGAGACTTATTTTCCTATTGATTTCCCTAATTCTTCACCTTCAATCACACTGGAAGAGTTTTTGCTTCTTTCTCTTTGCTTTTCTCCTGCTTCCCTCCCGCTGTCTGGGCCCTGCCCAAACTATGTCACTTATTTCAGGTCAGCATCACCTAAGTATAAGTGAAAAAAATGCATTCCTGAGCTGCAAAGGTAAGGTAGTACTACCAATGATCTGCTCACTGTTCACTTCTACAGGAACCTTCTTATACAGTGACTACATCCCCTCAGAAAACCAAATCTGAGATCATGTGTGCACACATCATAAGTTAAAAAACATTTAGGATTTATCAGACTGAATCAATACCTGACATTTTCATGCTCGTTCTTACCTGTTCAACAGTTTCCGTTTAAAAAAATAAACTTGGAGGTTCACATCCTTCACTGACACCACATATGAACCCTGTTAAAGTAAAGCCATTTAGGACATACAGATTATGTTTTCATATTCAGATTATGTTTTCAGAAAAAAATAAAGCACATTTCACTGCAAAGTACTTTATACTGAAGACAACATACAAGCTGATGTTAATACTTTCCTATTTTAAGTGTCAAAGTTTCTTTTTTGTTTCTGCAGTATTAAAGATAGCATAATTCTTACACTGATTAATTTACTTTCAGTTTTGTTACAGTACTGCTCTGCTTTGTGTAAAGGCATAAACAGAATAGAGTTCATTTGAGAGGAAAAAACCCCCAACCAACCAACAATGCAGAGAAAAAAAAACAAAACAAAGGTGAACATACTTCTCTTCCAAAAGCAATGTGCTTCATTGATGAACCCACACCATCCAGAACCACTGTGAGCTCCTTGCCTTCCAGATCTTGGCCTATTCCTTTTGACAGCTTAACTGAGACCAGCTGGAATGTATCTGAACAAAGAAAAAAAATCTGTCTGAAACCAAGAGTAGCACTGAAAAATGAGGTTCAGACAGTGGGTATCAGTGCAAGTATAAGCAGAATCCATGGGAAACTGCACAGTATTTCGTCTTGCTCTGAAGTACCAATATATTATAGTATACAATAAGGCCAAGCTGTATTTATTGTAGACAAAATCCCATAAAAAATACCTAGGCATGCTGTGAATAGGACAGATCAGTTTATGGTAATACTACCTAAGGTGGGATAATAATTTCCAGCACTCATACCCAGCTTCAGTAGTACAACCTGTACCTTGGTGAGCACTGCTCAAAGATGAACTGCATCTACGAGACCACATCCATGCAGTACATGCTCCAAAAGCAAAGACAAGCACTCTTCTAGACAAATATTGGAATGATGGATGTCACAGAATAAGAATGAAAGAGATACAACATGCAGGACTACAGATATTTGCCACAGGATTTAAATAATATGTCACAATTAACATATTAAAGCCCATTCTTGCAGCACACAGCTCTCTGCTGGGACAGCAGCACAGACACAGAATGACTGAGATGACATGGATGATGCTACTTGTACTGTACCTCGTTCACCCTTCTTTGGAATGACAACAAACACTGAGTCCTCAGCACTAGCAAGTATGTACAGTGCCAGAAGTTTGGTTCCTACAGTGAAAGTCTGAAGAAAAAAAGAGAAGGAAATCAGCAATTACTGCATTTGTGTGTATGTCTTTGAAATAAGGAAATCATGTCTTAAAGAAACATTCACATATTAATTAAAATCCTCGATTCTAAGACAAATACATCTTTATTCTATCAAGGACTAATAGAAATGTTAAAACAGTACTAATAAAATATGAGACATCAGAATTACTGAAAAGCCTCAACATATCCTTAATACAAAGCAGAAGGCACACCCAGGGGTGGGTATTTAGTGGAAAATGTGAGAAAGAGTAAGCAGCCCAAATTTTCAAGCCATTGGATCAATTCCTATTGGTGTATCCCAAACTGCAGCACACTTCCCAGAGCTACACTGGACTCTAAACTGCAGCAGGTAGCAAAGTCAGTATGTCAGTACATCTCCTATCTTCTTCCCCAAAAGGATCTGCATCATCATCATCACCACACATTCTATTACTGCCATAATTAGATGGGTTTTATGTTGTGTTAATAGTAGAACAACCCATCTCAGACTGATTTGTGCCCATTTTTGACATGTTCTTAACAGGAATAACTCAACATACTTTAATGGGAATCCCATCCACGAAGTCCCACAGCTTAATGGTGCCATCGAGAGAGCAAGAATAGAGCTGAAGAAAAAAAGCCAAAAACAACTATGTAAGTAATAGCAATATATCAAAGCCAGATTCTACATGAAATCACAACTACAATTCCAGGTAAAAAAGACAGGACAGAGACCAGCTCTGTGCTGCCTTCAAATAAAGGGCAAGTACAACACTAATACTCTAGTTCAAAACAGACATTGTCACAGAGACTGAATGCACAGATACCCACCATGGGAACATCTAATGTTGCACAGCTAATATACAGATCAGTCCCTCTTGGTAAACAACTCTCGTTTATATCCCGACACCAAAAAAGCCCAAACAAACTAGGAGCAGGGAAGGCAGGTTGGGGGCAGAGGGAGCCACTGGGCAAGTTAAAGGGATTTAGTCACATCTGCATCAGTACCAGCAGATACAGAAGGGCGAACACCAAGCACAGTATTTCTGATTTTCTCACATGCTTCTTTTACCCTTTCAATCAATGAGCCGGAAATTTTGCTATATTTCCGTTTTTCTGTCATTCTATTCAAGGAGCGTAATCCACATGACATTTCACGCTTGTGTTTGTAGGAAACTGACAACCTTCTTGTCAGATTTCAGCGAAACATCAGCTGGGCGATGCCCTAATCACTGCCAGCCCCTTCCCAAACTGCAGCCAGCCCCGGGAGAGCCCCCGCGGCCATGCCCCCCTTCAAACCTGCATGTGGTTGTGCGGGTTCAGCTGGATGCCGGTCACCAGGTCGGTGTGGCCGCCGATGAGCCGCAGGGTCTCCTCGGTGTTCACGCTGTACACCTTCACGAAGTCCCCCGACACGTACAGCAGGTACCTGCAGGGGAAACAACGCTGTTAGCCCGCCCGAAGGGGGCCCGGCCGGCCCGAAGGGGGCCCGGCCGCCCCGCGGCAGCCGCAGGCCGCGGGGACACCGGTGGGCAGAGCCCCGCTCGGAGCTCAGGAGCACCCCCCGAGCGCGACCCCCCGGCTCCCCCGCCCCACTTGCTTGGAGTCGGCGGAGAACACGGCCCGGGCTCCGCGCAGGGTGCCACCCCCGCACCGCACCACGCGGAGCGCGCCCGGCGCCACCATCTTGTCCCGCTGCCACCCGCGCGCCGGCCCCGCCCCGCCCGGCGCTGATTGGCCCCCCCGCCCCGCCCCGCCCGGCGCTGATTGGCCCCGCCCCGCCCCGCCCGGCCCTGATTGGCCCCGCCGCGTGCTGCCGGCGGGCCGCGCGCGCCCCCTCACGGACAGACTGGGGCGGCGCAGGAGGGGAACGGCTCCAAAGCCACCGCATCCATCGCCCAGACCCGGGCACTCAGTCCGGGCTCCCCCTAAACACCGCCCCCGCCACCGGAGTCCCCGGGCAGCTCCTTCCAAACACTCTTAACGTGAAGAAATTATTCTTAGTGTCCATCCCGAACCTCTGCTGGCACAGCTTGAGACTCCCGTCGGGAGCTCACCTGGCCACAGCCTCCTGCCAGGTAGTTTGTACAGGGCGCTCCGCCCTCCATTAGTGCCCCTGCCGTGCGCTCCTCAGAGCGCCGGTGAGTGTGGGGAGCTGTGCATGCTGCCTGTGCCCACTACCAGGGTTTTCCTGTGAAACCTCCCCCGGCTGCTCTCCGCAGCCATTCCCGGGTGGAAGGCGGTGGGAGCGCTCGGCAGGGCAGGGCTGGGCAGGGCTGGGCTGGGCTGGCCCGTGCGGGGCTGTGCCGCTGTCACCCCCCGCGAGCGCTCCGGTCCCTCCGGAGTGGCGCGGGCACTGCCAGGGACAGTCCTCTGGCTGGGTCTGGAATTGCGCCTGTCTGAGGAAAAAAATGAGTTAACTCCCTTGTTGAAGTGGTTAGAAAGGCTGAACAGAGGAAACTGAAGGGTAAGCTTTGCTAAACCCCGCCTTGCTCGCCGACTTGGACGAGCTGTGGGTTTGCTGAGTTACTGAGCACATCGTGTTCTCGTAACTGGAGGAAAACCGCTGTCAGAAGCAATGCGAGTGTCTGGAGTACACCGTGATTTATGGTGTCTGCGCCCTTCACTGCTGCTTTGGAATAGCAATTGCAGTTCTTGCACAGCTGTGTAGTTTTGGCAGCTGTTTAGGCGACTGAAGGTATCTCTGGTATGCTTGTAATTGATTTTTAAACAGTCGCCCTTCTCAGACAATAACAGGGACAGGTGCGTTATGAGTGGGTAGTTGTGATCATCCTGCTGTAAACAATGTCCTTTTTTTCCCTGCGGACTGAATCCTGGTCCGGAGGTTACCCGAGGATTGTGCAGGGACAGGAGCACACACCGAGGAGTATCGTGGCCATAGGGAGCTGGGGATAGGTGTGAGAGAGCACAGTGCGCCCAGAAACCTGGCTGCCCATTTCAGATATTTGACAATTAAACAGCGCTCTCTCTCCGGAGCTGAGAGCAGAATTTATAAGCGCTGCCTGAATTGTAAGTTGGGCTCAGCAGCTGTGTCGTGCTCTCACTCTGGTGAGTATTTTAGAGCCCAAAGGCAGATGCAGCCTAGTGCTCCTCCTGTATGGGACGTCGTGTCCAAGTTCTGAGCCACAGGCACTGAGTAAAGCCAGAGTTCTGTCAAAGGGGGAAAGAGACAGTCCCTTTAATCCACATTATTATGTGAATGGGACTCTTTTGTTCAGGTCTACACTAAATATAGTCAAGTCTTGTCAAAACACAGAAACTTGGCATATTCATCCTTCTCCTGGATGAAGGAGACAGGCAAATACCTTGTGCATCTCAATGCATACGTTTTTGTAATGCATGATTATTTTCATCATTTTAAGAAATCTGCCATAAGCTTTGAAGCTGATAAACCATGTAGAGATCAAGACTGCCCCATATATCCTAGGAGCACAGAGAGACAAAATAAACCATTTACTGCCAGCACCTGTGCAGAGCACTGTTCCCCCACAGCACAGCCACTGCTTTCAGCCCTGGCTTTCCCTGCTTCCAGCAGCACAATTAATTCGATTTTCCTTCCCACAATTCAGCAGAAAACCCAATAATACAGCCACAATTAATGTGATTTCATTATCAAAAAACCACTTGCTAGTTATTACAGACAAGGTTTTTTCCACTATAGATGTTCTGCATGATTGTTCCAAGTAATGCTTCCCAAAGTTTTTAGTAGTGCTATTCTAAATATGGAACATTGCTGTGAGTTAGATTGGGTCACTGTGGCAGAGTTTAAAAGACTTTTGTTTTCAAAGTTAAAATGGTTGCTATAAATTTATTATTAAATAATAAATAATGCCATAAATAATAATATATAATCTATAGTATAGAATTACTTACTAATAAATAATAAACACATGCACAGTGTGTCTTTTAAAAAGTTTTCTTTGGGATTTAAAAATTTTTTTTAGATGTACTCAGCTTTTTAGTTCATTGTCATAACCTATATTTTAAGGGTGGTTTGGTGCACAGGTGTATAAAGAACCAAAACTTACCCGTACCAGTTTCTGGAAGTTGAGGTAGTAGAAGATACTGAAAGTATCTGGTTTGTGGTATTCAATGGAGTAAGGAGCAATCTAACCTGTTGTTTGCTTTTCTTTGTTGGAAGTGGTGGCTTTGTATGCTTTTTCTAATTTATTTGTTTAAATTTACATTTCCAGTATATAAAATTCATAGGTTTGTCTATCTGCAGAAGTTTGCTTTTGTCTTTCCCAAAGTAGTGATTTGATTCAGTAAGGATTCTAGTGTATTCAGCTGATGTTTATTTAGGAGGAATTAATCAATAGAATGTAATTGCAAGTACTGCAAAGTATATTTTTGCAAAGTTTTGGGAAAATGTATTGCAATGAATTGCACAAAGAGTTCATAGATCATAGCAAACAGCATTGGCCAAAGATTTGTTTGTATTTAGAATTCACTGTGTGATTGTTTAAGTAATTACAGGTAAACTAGTTGGAGAGAATGCAGCTGTACTTCTGAGACATCTTTTTAATATTGTAAATAAAATTAGCATAACTTTAAATATGTTGCCAACTTAGAAGGAAATCCTTCCAGGCCAAGAGGTGAGTTCTTCCTAAACAAGTGTTACTGGTTAAGTACTCTGCCTAGTCTGTAAGTTTCTAAACTGTCCCAAGACTTGTGAAATCTCATGTCAATAATTCAGTGTAAGAGTGATTAGGAGAAAAAACATTGTTGTGTCTTCAAGGAAGCAGAATGACTGTCCTTAAGGAAGGGTGTTGTACACTACAGTACCACTGCAGTTCATTAAGTCGGTAGTACAAGACAGATATCTGATTTGAAATGCTAATTACATTTTATATTTGACTTGGTTTTCATCAGGTTTCTTACTTTCCTCTACCCTATTTGATGTCAGCCTTGCTCCTTAATAGGATATCCAGCTCTGTATCCCTGTCTGGAGCCTGGGAGCTGTGATCACTCCCTTGCTGTCCCCCACACTCTGCTTTCACACTGGGATGCTGGTTGGCCAGCATTTCAGCATGGGGCAATGGGTCTGGTACATTTCAAAATCTGTTCCGTTTGTAAACTCCACAGTTGGTCTCCAATGGTTTTTTTGTTCTTCCATTTGGTGTCTTTCTCAACCAGCTTGTGGCTGCAAAGAGAAGAGGGTTCTGAAATGCATGC